GAGACCATGGAGGTATTTTGCAGAGACTTCTAATACCTGAAGGCAAGGAAGTACTGGTTCAGTAACTGACGACCATGGGAGACATCGGCATTGGAACAGAGGTACTGTACAGATACTTTTAATGCCTGAAGGCAAAGAACAAGGAAACCACTCCAGCTAGCTGATTCAAACTGAAAGGAATGTAATACAACCCGCAGAGGATTTCTACTGTTACCTGGCTGTGGACTGGGGAAATAGGACTGGGTGATACCCCTCTCCTTCATATGGGCCATCAGAGACTACAGGTACTAAGAAGAATCGTTCGAGTGGCCTCTCTTCAGTACTTTACAGGAAAGATTGCTGTCCCTCCGGATTCATTATGACCCTGGGAAGGACCTTTTGCTGCTGTGAATACTGTTTTCGTTGTGTCTTTGGGTGATAGTGAATGTGAATGTAGTTAGAAAATAAAAGCCATTTATACAATACAAATGATTGTCGCTGGTCTGTGTGTGCATTGGTGATTCTGGAAGATAAACAGAACCTGTGGCAATGTAGAGGGGCCCTTTCACCCCGTTTGTATTGCTAGGTGGCGTAGTCATACACGAGGCAGGAACATTCCTCGCCCAAGGGTTCACCTTACTGTGACAGTTATTAAATCTTTGCGTATAGCGCTCCATCAGAAATACTTTGTCCCTGGTCAAAAGAGACATCTGTGTTCAGTAAGCACTGAGCCTACTCTCAGAGTAAGTTACATAGCAGCCCCGACACTGAAAATTGAAGAGAAATGGCTCTTATCTGGAATTTTTCATGTCCAATACTTTTGACATCTCCCAAGAGTTCTTTTGTGACACTTTTATATAAAAAACATGAAATTGTGTAAGGGAATTTTTTTTTCATAGAGAAAACGTGAACCAGGAAATGTTGTGTTGAAAAGAAATGATTTAACATGATACGTGACCTAATTTACAAGAGTGAATGCTCACCCAGCAAAGTCTGCTTTACAACTACAAGAGAGAAGTTGGAGAGTCTGGTAGATGTGATAATTTCACGGTGTTGTGGAAGAAAACAGTTTTTCTTTGAATTCTAAATCGATCTGAATTTCAGTGGGACACATTAACAATTTTGTCTGATTTAAAGAGATGATATTTTAAAACTCATAAAAATTTAGGACACACATTTGTCACTTTGAAATTTTAGATGGAGTGGTGTATTACTAGTAGCAGCACTGAGCTTACTATGGTGCAATTCAGGTTATATGATATGCCAGAGGTTTAATAGATAACGAGCCTGATTTGGGGTCAAACAATTCTAGGTTCGACTTCTACCTGGCTCGTGTAAATTTTAATCAGGCTCCTCAGTAATAAATGTCTGTTATGTAAATGAACTGCACCTGAAAGCAAACGTTGGGTTTGTATCCTTTTTTTTTCCTGCATGAAATAGCAAATCGTTACAAAAAGCACCAGCTAATGTCCAATAGGGTTAGCCATTTCAAATTACATTTACAGGCTTCAGACACTTTTTAATAAAACCAAAGTGTCCCGAAACTCCCCAACTTTCAGATTTGCTTGAACCTGTAATACAAAAATGATCTCTTTCCTCCAGGATTCCATTCTCTGATGCAGCTGTCTCTAAAGTCGGACATGATGTTTAGCAGATGTGAACTGTGCCTATTCTCTTGTCGTGTTCAAGGGTATTCGCTGCATGAGCTCCTCACTGCGTGTCCTGTACTGCTCTATTTTGTTTAGTTTATCTATGTGGTGCACAGATAAAACTCAACTGCATGGTGAGAATTCCAGGTTTGGCACAAGCAGAACCTGAAAAGCTAATAGCTGACCCCGACGTGATTTGAACACGTAGCTTTCTGATGTGGAGTCAGACGTGCCAGCATTGCACCATGATGGCACACCAAAAATCTACTTTTAATCCCCCAAAAATCAGCTTTGTGAAAACTTTTCCTGCACTTTCCCTTTGAGGAGTGCCACTCTTCCAAAGAGAATCTCTTCTTCCCAGGCCACATTTTATTCTTCCTGCGCAGCTCTCAAACAGAGAGTGACACATCTCCTCTAATGTTTTCACTACATCTACAGATCTGAATGCCTACAGCCCTGATATTCCATATCCTGTATTCCTAAATATGAGGATATTTACCACCACCTCATGAACTTCACATTTTTACCTCTCCCAGGGGGAGCACAAGTAACAGAGAATCCTCTCTTCATTTCACAAAAAACACAAAACCCTCTTTAACAGTCCAGAAAGAAAACTGAGCTGCTCCAGGTGAGGCTTAAACTCACAAGCTTGGCATGACTCCATTGAGTATGTCTTTTTACATGGCATGAACCAGGAAGAAGATTGGAAGTCAAGAAGTAATGGTGTTGTTCTCGATAACAGATCCAGGAACACTGAGAACACTGACTCTAAATCCAAAAGTCAAGTTTTCAAAGTATATCAGACTCAACTGATACTGATCAGGTTCTGCTGCTGCTGAACCTGCAGCCTTCACCACAAAGTCTAATTCCCCAAGCCTGCTGACCTTAAATGTCCATCCCATCTTGTCAAAAGTCGTATTTTCACAGGGTACCCATCCGAAATTGCAGTATAGAATGAAAAAATTCCAGAAGATCTCAGCCGCTGTTGGTTTTTTCCTTTAAAAAAATGAATCTCTGAAAATACACTGAGTGTATTGATCTCACTGAGACCGAGAAGTGTCAAGCTGTACTTGAATCTTTGTGCCTCGGTTGTTAACCAAAAGGGTGGATGGTTGTTTGAGCCCTCCCAGGGACGCTGTGAGCCTTTTAATGTACACACCCTCCTCGCTTCATTTCTCCATGACCGGTCCTGTACTGCATTCGAATACAGAGCTTGAAGGGGGAAGTAAGCTCGCAAATATTGCTCACTGTGTATATAATGAAGAAGCAGAGCTAGTTTCTCCTCTGCATGTTGCAGAGCCTTACACAACTCTTAACAGCAGCTGGAATTTGATCCCTGCACGGACTATTAGTTGAAAGACCATTGTCAATGACGTGTAAAAGATTTATCCAGCTGGCTCTTATGCTTCACACTAAATTTCGATCTTGAAACCAAAATTATTAGAAATATTGAACACAACCGTTGTTCCCCAAGAAGGAAAGCTGTTTTACACTGACGTCACTTCTTTTTATTTAATCCAGATTGTGAAGACAACTCCGCCTTATCAAAGGAAAATGTTACACAAAATGTGGAAAGCACGGTCTGATTCCATCTGTATATTTGATTCCCGTAATCCATTCAAGGTTGCTTAGTGCTTCGCAAGCAAATCATTTCAAGGAAGAAACTCAGTTTAGTGATCTACTGGTTTATTTTCAGTCATTGAATTTGATCTTTGTACTCTCTTTACATTCTCATCTAAAATATTTCAAAATTACTGTTCAGATGTATTGGAAAACTTCACAATCATTATTAGGTTAGGACTGTACAATTAAATTTTAATATCTTGGTATATTTACCTTCATTTTAATATAGATGTAACCATAAATGTTGTTAAGTAAATTGTACTTTTTTCGTATTTTTAAAAACATTTTAGCTGAGGACGGACAGGGACTATTATACCTTGTGATACATGCAAGACATCTTTAAAAGAAAATGTAATTACAATAAAATTGGCAATTAAAAGAAAACCACAATTTTTATGACATTATCCCTTGATACCGATGATCAGTTGAAGGATTTGAGGAAACTATCAAAGAAGCAGCAGCAATAGGAGATGATTTTGGTTTTGAACAGATGTTTACACATCAATAATCCATTCATCCTCCAAAAAAGAAAAGAGGCATGTTTTGAGTCTCATAATGATCTTCTTCTGGATCCACAAGAAACGTGTAAATGTGATTGTTTCTGTAGTAGTTTAGATGTAGTTGTAACTTCCATCAAAGAGAGATTTCATCAGCTGCATGCAATCGAAACTTTCAACTTTTTGTATGGTATTGGAAAAATTTAATATTGGAAATATAAAAAAAAAACAGTTTTCTAAAGAACATTTCATTAATATTGCCAGGATCTACATTTAGCGTTCGATACTGATAAAATTGCTTTATGTATTGACAGCTAAATAAATCCTAAAACATCTCCTGTAAAGTACTAAAGAGCATACAAAATGATCAAACATTTAAAAAAACATACGGTAAAACTCGATAAAGGGCAAGTAAAATACTTAGTTTTATTTGAAGGACACAAAAACTAATACTACGGGGGGATCACAATAGATTCAGGGAACACAACCGTCCGCATATGGGCTGGAATCCTACACCTTCAATTAAAAAGACTTTCTTTACAAACAAAGCTCAGAATATAATCTGGTAAACTCTCTTCACAGTTTATAGATTTGGAAATAAAACTATTTCTAACTTTCTGACTAATTTCTAACATCGATAGACGATTTATTAAATTTAGCAAAATCACAATTACAAACATTTTGGCTTAAACTGTTGATATACATTCTCTAATGAAGACAAACATTAATGTCTTCCTGTGTGTGCACCCACTTCTCAAAAAGTGAAGATCACTTTATTAGCCAAATACAATCTCTTGCATTAGAAATGTATTTTTCGCATACCCCAGCTTGCTCTCCATGAGATACACAGACAGTGAAAAAGCTTGGGGTTAGAGCACAGGATCACCCACTGTACAGCATCCCCAGAGCAGCTGGTGTTAAGGGCCTTGGTCCAGAGCCCAGGAGAGTAGGATTCCTTTATCAGATGCAGGATATGAACCAGCAACCTTTTAACTAGAGGGGCATGAACCTTACATGAAAGTTTTACATTGTAAATTATGTACGTTATTAAGTCCAGTACATAAATTTAAAATTGACAGTTACGAATAGTGAAACTCGTAGGTGATTCACTCCTCCACACTAGGTGGCGATAGGAGGTACAGTGAGGTTTATGTTCGGCTGCAGAAACTCCTCTTTCTTAGCACCGCCCTCAGTTGCTAGAAGCCGCGGCAGTGCTGGAGTGACGTCATCATACTGCGCGACACTGCAGATATTTCACCCACGTGGCGGTGATTGAATCAGTTGCTTTAGCTAAATGATAAGAAACTTATTCATTTCTTAAAGTAACTTTTCAAGTTTTGATATCGCACACGACTTGTCGGCAGTGTTCATGCTTGAACAGATCACAGGCCTGAATACAGGATCTGTGAAGAATAAAAATACAGAAGAAAGTTCTTGTGTTTAAACCCCGTAGCCTTTGTTTCTCACCGACTCTAAAGAAGGATGGCGGCGTCCTTGTTAAATCTACAAACCGAGCTTCATTCTTTCTTGGATATTTTACTCAAATCGATCGTATATGAAGTGGCAGACGTTTTCCGAAACAGGATGTCTGACTCTGAGGACGAGTTTGAAGACAAGCTCCGCAGCGTCTCCCAGATTCTGGTGAGACGGGCCGTGTTTAAAATCACACAGTGTGTGGAGGACAGTTTCGAGAGTGAAATGGCGCAGCTGAAGAAGGAAAACGAGAGCCTGAAGTGGAGATTGCAGCTGTGGGAGAAGGAGACGGGAGCAGGAGATCGGAGACAGACACATCATGTTGGACACAAGCTTCCCCGTGAAGTCACTGCAGGAATAAAAAAAACGAAAGTGCAGTTGTCAGGTCAGTGGGGTGACTTGTATGAAGTCAGTGTGTGTGTGTTTAAAAACGGTGTCTTTAACTTCCTCACTGTTTAGAATATAGTGAAGATGCAGAGTGAAGTGGGAAAGACTTGTGTGATTTAGCAACGGGATTCTTTACTGAAAACTGAACTGTTGTTGTCTGGTTATGGTGCTAAAAACAATTCGTTCACATTCACCAGTTCTTTCGCTAAATCAGTGTATAATCCGACGTCATTAGGGAAAAATATAAGTATTGTGTTATATCTTTAGATTTTGTATTTGTTTATTATTTAAATATTCCAGTCCACCAGGGTCTGTCTGTACTAACTCCTTTGGAATATTAAGTCAGTCAGTGTTTCTGTATTAATCCCTTTCTCTCAGTGTAGTGTTAATGTACTGTATTGTCCAGTCAGTGTGTCTGTATTAACCCCTCTTTCTCAGTGCTTTGTTAATGTACTGCAGTGTCCAGTTATTGTGTCTGAATTAACCCCTTATTCTCCTCATCCCCTCATCTGTATTTCAGTAACAGGACTGAGAACACGTTGTTTAGACTTCATATCATTCAGAAACCGGAGTAAAAAAAAATGATGAGCTACTGTATTTACATCATTGTTATCTTTGGTATTTTGCTTATTTAGTGTTTTTTATCTTTGGAACATTCTCCTTATTTTTAACATAATCTTGGCCAAATGTGTTTCCAGGGATTTAAGTTTAAAAAAAGCAATTAAAATCTGGAAATATAGGTAAAATTGTAAACAGGATAAAAGTGGTCAATCAGTCGACAGATATTTGCATTCTTATGTTTTCTAGTGGTTAGGGGTTTGAGGTGCAGGTTCAAGTGAATATTGGATTGTCTCTGGTGAGGTGCAGTATATTGTTCACATTTTATATTTGGGTGTTTTAAGTTTGGGGATTCTGCTGTATTGATTGATCTTGGAGGAGAAGGAGTGTCCTGGATTTGGAAGGAATTGAAAGGACAAACTGTTCCCAGGGTTTTTCTCTTGGTGTGTTTGTGTTGCACTGTCTGGCCAGTGTTGTCTGCTCTCACTGTTGAGTTAAGTACCAGCACTGCAATGTGCACTGTTTTCTTCCTGACTTCTTTGGATTAAGTACACAGCAGAATGTGTATGAGTCTTCTAGAGAGACAGTCATTTCCTCTCAGTTGAATTCACTGCTCTGCACAGTAAAGGTAGATCTGGAGCCTATCCCAGCATACAAGTGGCACAGTGTGGGATACACCATGGACAGGATACCAGTTCATCACAGAATATCGTTGACAACCTGTTACAAATGGGAGGTCTGAAAATGCCTGAAATGGCCCAGAGAGTAAATCAAGAATTAAATTAAATGACTCTATCCCCCATATAACTGAGCAATAATTAGATTGAGAAGCACTTGGGTTCTTTGTGCTCTGACACAGAAAAGAGTCAGAAGTAAGACACACTGGGCTAACAAATATTTATTAACAATGACAAAACACACACTAAACTACACACACAATAAACATACAACATGCAAGTTATGCAATTTATAAATAAAGTGCCCCAGAGGCCCACTTCCTGTCTACCCAGCAAAACCTGACTGTTGCAAAGTATTCAACTCTTAAATATCTTAAAGATCAGCTGCCTTCTAAACTAAAGACACTGTTACCTGCAGTTAAATCTCACTTCTTCTCTTAACCCTTATGTTACCAGATTAATGGCAATTTATCTCCCTATTCTCAAAATCCATTCACTAATCAGGTGTTTCAACCAAGGGATTCTTTAAACTGGACAGCAGTCAGAGATCTCTAAAAATTACAGAACAACAGGCTATATTAAAAAGGTTCAAATACTTGATGATATGGATGATCTGGAACAAGGAGCTCTCACCTTCATGTTGTCTTTTCTCCTCTGTTCTTATCTCTGTCCTTTTCTTTTAGGCTGTGTTCCTGGACTGCTCCTGGACTGCTGATTAACCCTTAATCCTTTTTCCAGAATTTAATTAACTAATGTAAACTAAGGTAAACTTGACAATTGCTTTAATCAGTGAGTCTGGGGCTTTCACATCCAAGCAAACATCCCCTTTGCTCTGAAACTTGAAATGTTTACAATAGTGAGGAGTTACCCATTATATCTAGATTAACATCCTAATATTTTTTATAAAATGTGATACTTGTGTTTTTTTTTTTTAGAATATATGCTCTCTGCTTTCTAAAGAATCAGGTTCAGTTAATTTGTGTGTTTGGGTTTTTGCTTTTGTTGGGGGCCTTGCCCTTTTATTGTCATGCCAAGACTGAGTCTGACCTACATCCTGCGGTTGCCAGGGGCAACACAAACATTCTCACATTCTCACCCTGCCATTCAAACAGATTGGGGCACCTTTCTCTCAAACTGCCAGTTTTTCAGTAAGAATCTCAATCAATTTAATCAAACTCCTTATTGCCCCTTCCAAACCCTCACTGTACTGGTTTAATTCTGCTGCCTCCTCCCACTGTGTTACTTTTTTCCATCTGTAAAGCGCTTTGAGAAGCCCCTTTTAAAGGGGCTATATAAAATAACGTTTTCTATATAGTATTATGATTCAATCCACTGTTGTTGTTAATGAGAGTCTTGCACTCGTGTTAGCATTATATAACCACTGGTTATCTCTGTGCCTTTTTGCCTTTTTCCCCCTTTTTGGTTTATTTTCTGAATCACCAGCTCGCCTCTTTCTGATTCAGCTGGGAGCCTCTCTGTAATTAAACAGTTCTGTATCAGACTGTTTCCCTCTGAATTCACTGTCTAAGCCATTCACAGCTTCTAGAGTTCAACCTTAAACATCACTCTGAGGACTGTGCTTGGGCTTCAACCAATCACCATGCTATTTTCACATTTAAACCTTGATGTGGTTATTAAGAGACTTTGCTGGTCGATGCTGATTGTTGCTGCCAATAGAGATATATGAAACCAACAAATGTAATGTGTGTTTAGACAAGTTGTTTATTCTGAGTGTTATTTTTCTGTGTACTTGTTTGCAGTGTTAATTTAGTCTCCAGATTTTGATTTAGTCATAGTCTTAGTCAAGTCAAAGAAAGTGTCTGTTAGTCATAGCCACCTTCTAGTCATCCATTTTTAATTTAGTCCATTCAACCCAATCTTCACTATGATTAGTCTTAATTAAATTAATTAAACTTATTAAAACTACATTAGTTTTAATCACATTTTTTAAATTTATTTGTATAATAAAATGTATAAAGGTATAATCAGTACTAAATTGTAATAAATAATAAAATGTATGGCTAAGAAAATATTTAACACATTTTATAAGATTTTGTCAAAAAGCACAAGTTTTTGTTGCTCAGTCTAAAGAGTATTGATCCACAGAAATGTCAAATATCGATACAATAAGTAATTTATTTTTGATTAGTAATAAATAATCTCATAGAGGGGACATCGAATGAATCTTTCCTAATAAAAAGATCTATTTATAACATCTATTATTAACAACTGTTAATAATTCTGTATTTTTCTATAAGTTGTGTTGAAATTGTTTTCAAAGGAAGTTTTTTCAAAGTTTCAAAGCAACAAGTTTATTCAGTAGAGGCTTCCACCAGTACTCAATTTGTAATAACTGTAGGGTAATTACTGAATGAGTTACTTAAAATATTACCACAGAACAGGACAATTAATATACACATTCTTTATCTCACTGATATTATTAATAACTGGGTCTTTTGATGCCATAATAATTCAGTTGAAAACCTACCATAGTCTGAATGGTGTAAGTGTTAATCATGTTGTGCTAGTATTATGATAACATAAGTATTATGTTAAGTATAAGTATTATGACAGGCCTGTGTTTCAGTCTATCACAGTGCTCTTTACCATGCTAGGCAAACAATTTTTAAAATAAAAAATAAGATAAAATGATGTGTTCCTGCCTAACTTAAACATTGCATGACTTTAAAAGCTACAAATAACTGGGTTTAGATTAAAAAACACTTTGTATGTTCAAACAATGGGTGATTTTTCTTCTTTATGATCAGCTTAGAAAATTTGTGTATGCTGTAGGGTTTTTACTTCTTAACTAAACATTTACGAAACTTGAATTTCATAAATGCAACACACGTTTCGTACAGAAAAAATCAAGTTCTCCTCTCTTCCTGTGGTGTGAAGCAGATCATCAGGTCTTTTTTTTCAAATCAAAGGCTGGGAAAATAGAGCACCGCCCTCTGCATGCTCTCAGAGAGGGGGGCAGTACCAAAAGAGAGAAGAGGTGCGGGGCTCAGCAGTACAGAATGAACATTCTATAGCGCAAAGTGCCAATGGCTTCTGCATATATGACTTAGTGTTTACAATTAAACAATTTAAATTTTCTTTGACTTCTAAGTCCCTAATCATTAATCACAGATTTGTCACCATTTACATTTATTTTTGTAGAAGGTTATTGTACTTCCTGATGAATAATAATAATAAACTTTATTTTATATAGAGCCTTTAAAGGAGGGTTCTCAAAGCGCTTTACAGAATGACAACAACAATAAATAAAAAGAATACACAAGATAAAACACAATTACAATATACAGAGGAGACCGTGGATGGTGCTAAAAAGAAAAGTAGAGGGGTGAAGAATGGAAAAGTTAAGTAAAGGCTTTTCTAAAAAATAAGGCTTTGAGCCTGGATTTGAAGGAGTTTAGAGAAAGTGACTCTCTGATATACTTGGGGAGAGAGTTCCAGAGCTTGGGGGCATAACAGGAGAAGGCCCTGTCACCCACATAATGTAGACAGGCTTGGGGGACAGTAAGGAGTCCAGAGTTAGTAGAGCGAAGGTTGCGAGGTGGGGAGTAGGGCGATAATAGTTCAGACAGGTACTGAGGTGCCAAGGCATGCAGAGCCTTATAGGTGAGCATAAGGATTTTAAAGTCTTCACAGAATTTGACCGGAAGCCAGTGCAAGGACTCCAGGATAGGAGTAATGTGATCATTTAAACTAGACCGGGTCAGGATTCTGGCTGCAGATTTTTGGACATACTGCAGTTTGT